ATAAAACTCCCATTTCTATTTGTTCAGAACATACAGCTGATCTATTACGTGTATAAAACTCCCATTTCTATTTCTTCAGAACATACAGCTGATCTATTACGTGTATAAAACTCCCATTTCTATTTGTTCAGAACATACAGCTGATCTATTACGTGTACAAAACTCCTTTTACTCGTTTCGACCTTCTTAAGTTTGTTCCACATTGTTCTACTTTTATACTACATCGGGTCAACTACCCGAACCCTAGCTACCATCGAGTTTCTTAAGTTCGTTCCACATTGTTATACTACATCGGAACTACCCGAACTCAGTGTTAAGAAGCATGAGTAAAACTGCCCTTCAAACAACTCTGGAACTTACAGTCATCTAAGTAAAGACTGTAGCGAGAAGCCTAACATCGAACAGATCAAAATAATAGACTCAGCGACAGACAGACGAATGGACATTAAGGAAAATAGAAGTACTCCTAATTGAAACTTGAAACTTAAACTGAACAACCAAATAACACACAGACCGCCAACAACGAGAACCAAGACATATGGTCCCCTTGTATTAAATAAAATAATATAATTCTGAAATAATCCAAAACGTATCAGGGGGAGTCAAATGAACCTGACCCTTCCAGGTCTGCAAAGATACCGACAAGAGAGAGAACCAACTTAACAACACCACTGCATCTCAAACTGTGATAAACTTATCATGCCTGAGATGAGCAAAGAGTGAAAACTTCGTCGAAAAATCAAATGTCAATATATATATATATCAAATGTATCTAAATATATCATACTGCTGCTAATAACAGTGACTCTTTCTGAGGAACTGCTCTGATCTTTTAAGTGGACCAGAAATACAACTTACCAAAATGTTTAAGATTTACGTAATACATGCAAATTCTGTTGTCACTCCGAAAGAAACTGTTTTGGTATCGTTTTTGTTTTTGTTGTTCTTCAATTGCGTCTATATTTTTTCTACTTCTATTTATATTTGGCCTAGGAAGGACCTCACGTGCCTGTTTATTCCCAAATGTAGGCTTGTTACTGTTTCTATCATTGTTGATTGTACGACACAGACTTGGAGGTAGCAGGGTAAACCAGCATAGTTATTGTGATCACTGCCCTCTCTAACACAATGTGTGGCGGAAATTCAACTGTGTTTATAATATTCAAACACGCACTCTTGAACCAGAGACCCTTGCCGGAAATTGTGGTCAAGGAACCTGCGTGGTCCAGGTGCGTGACAAGTGAATCACCATTGTGTGAAACTGCCTATATAAGCCGAATTTAAGAACGCACGTAAACTTTTTATAGTTGTCTATTTCGCAGTTTGTTCGATTACAACTAAACGTTGAAATGTCAACACCGAGGACATGGAACTGACTCAATAAACTAGTGTGTTCTACGTGTGAGGATTATAGAATCTGATGTTCCCATAGGTAAGAACCATTTTGAATCTAAGTTATAGAAGTGATGTGATTAAATAGCGTGAGAATTATAGAATCTGATGTTTCCAGGTTGTTACCATAGGTAAGAACCATTTTGAATCTAAGTTACAGTTATAGAAGTGATGTGATTAAATAGCGTGAGAATTATAGAATCTGATATTTCCAGGTTGTTACTATAGGTAAGAACCATTTTGAATCTAAGTTACAGTTATAGAAGTGATGTGATTAAATAGCGTGAGAATTATAGAATCTGATAT